GAGCTACTCCAAAGAACAGGAATACCACGATCTGTTTATTTCTTCTTTGATAGAGAGGGGGTTATTTCCAGTTTCACTATTATACAACTATCTACTGGGGCTTTGGGGGGAAAAATAAATAAATAAAATCTTTAAAAAAAAAAAAAAAGAAAGTAGTTTTGTAATAATAATGCCATTTTTGCGTTTTAGTAAGAGTTTTAAAAAACATTTCCACACAAATTTTGTTTGTGTAAATGAATAGTGGACACAAACAGAATGTGGTTTTCAGATCACTGATGAGAAACCTTGAGTCCAAGAGACTTGCTAAAACAATCTTTGCAAACCATTATGGCAATAATGGTTCTCAAATTACCCTCATGAATTCACCTTGTCCTTCCTAGTTGCACTTTTCCTTTGAGTTTTCTCCTTATTTAATTTTTTAAAAAATTTTGAACTGGGGCCAGCCCAGTGGAGCAAACAGTTAAGTGCATGTGCTCTGCTGTGGCGGCCCGGGGTTCGCCGGTTCGGATCCCGGGCATGCACCGACGCACTGCTTAGCAGCCATGCTGTGGCGGCGTCCCATATAAAGTGGAGGAAGATGAGCACGGATGTTAGCCCAGGGCCAGTCTTCCTCAGCAAAAAGAGAGGAGGATTGGCGGATGTTAGCACAAGGCTGATCTCCTCACAAAAAAAAAAAATTTTTTTTTGAACTAATTAACTCCTTTAGGTAACCTATTGTTAGCATGGATAGTAGTAACGCACTAGTCAAAATGGAAATGAGAAATGGAAAAAAAAAACGTTATCTTCTCTGCCATTCCCTCTTACACATCCTTCAGGATCTGAGTCAAGCTTCACCTCCTACCTGAGAGCCTCGGGGGACCACTCAGCCAGAGTCAGCCTGCAGCTCTCTGACACATCTACTATATTGCCCTAATTGGACACTTTCTCTGTATCTTATAACTTAACTCCTCAGCTGGATTTTAATCACCTTAAACAGAGACCATAGTATAACATATACCTCTTCAATTTAGCAGGTACTCAATCAACTTTTGGCCAATTGATGATTACTGCTGACTCTAGCCTAAAGTTTCACTATCTTTTAAAAATTCACGCTTCCCTTTCATACAAACAAAAACAAAATCTCATCTCTCTCTACCAGTTCACACCCACTAGAATGGCTATAATCAAAAAGGACAGATAACAAGTGTTGGTGAGGATGTGGAGAAACTGGGGCCATCCTACACTGCTGGTGGGAATGTAACATGGTGCAAGTGCTTTGGAAAACAGTCTGGTAGCTCCTCAAAAGGCAAAACAGAAGTGTGACCATATGATCCAGCAATTTCACTCCTAGGTATATACCCAACAGGACTGCAAACATATGTCCACACAAAAACTTGTACACAAATGTTCACAACAGCATTATTCATAATACCAGAAGGTGGAAATAACCCAAATGTCCATCAATTGATGAATGGATAAGCAAAATGTGGTATTTCCATACAATGGAATATTATTTGGCTACCTATGGTAATGCTATCTGCCTTACTCTTTGAACTCTTGAGGCCTTCAAGAAAGGCATGAAAAGACCCAAAATAAAATATAAAAGTAAATCTCAATTTGCTGTCTTAATCAGAAAGTTCTGCTGCTTCTCGAGATTTTTGTTCCTTGTCTAGACTCTAGAACTAAAAAAATATTAACCTTAAATGTTATTCTTTGAGTTAACCGTAAAGAAAGGAGAGATAAAATGCCAACTGGAGGCGGGAGTTGGATATACATTTAAAAAGACCAGCAAGATCACATAATCTTTCCATAATTTAATTTTCCCAATTTGCTAAACTGCTGTATTCACACTAACGTCTTTCTTCATTTTTAATGTTCCATGAGTTTGTCTCATCTCGCCTACCAATAATTATATAAGCAACATCATAGTGCTTACTATACAGCAGTCACTGTGCCATTAACCATTTTATATCATTATCTCATTTCATCTTCACAACAACCCTAACCATGAGTACTATTTTTAGCCTCATTTTCAGATAAAGCAAGGCTCAGACAGATTAAGAAGCATGCCCAAGGTCACACTACTATAAGGAACCAGAACCAGGCTATGAATCTAGGCCTGATGCCAATGTCCACACTCTTATCCACTGGGCTACACTGCCACCTAAGTAGATTTATATGTCACCTACAGGAGCAAGAACACAAAAAGTACTTGTGGATTCACTAAATTGTAGTCAGTATATAATAGAGGATGTCCTGGAAACTTGAAAATAAAGTTGCCAGTTGAGAGTGAAACTAGTCAGAATTAAGAGATAATGAATGAGATTAGGTAGCTGTAGCATTAAGCCATCCCCTTCAGCAGCCAAGGACAGTGTATCTAAAAATATGGTATCAAGAAGCTATGATTGTATGTCTACACAAAGATCTATAAACAATACCCACAGCAGCTTTATTCATACTAAATAAAAATAGCAACAACCCAAATGTCCAGGAACAGGAGCATGGATAATCAGATTGCAGTATATTCATACAATGGAACACTACTCATCAATAAAGGGTTGGGGGGTGGAGACCATGACTGAAATGCAGTGATGTAAAAGAAAGCTGCAACTCATTGTGGTGCAACCTTTCTGAAAAATAAAGGTTAATTTTAAAAAAGTTCCTCAAGGGTATTATCAACTGCTTTTTTGTCTGTCTAATATCTCTGCCCAAGTCCCTCTTTATCTGGTAACAAACTCAACCCCGTCTTGCACAAGAGTGGGCATGACCCTGGCCAAGCCAATCAGAGGATGCCACCCCTAAGCCACAGCACATGACCCACACCAAGCCAATCAGAGAGCCACCCCTAAGCCAAAGCACATGACCCACACCAAGCCAATCAGAGAGCCACCCCTAAGCCAAA